ATGGGACGGAGCCCTAAGGTGAATTCCAAAAATCCAAGTAGCCTATAACCTTCTCACGCATGTATAGAACAAAGAGAAAAGTTTCATCGAAATCAGTGCACCCGTTTCCCTGTGAAAAGCAAACAAAATCACGTCCAAAACCGCACCAAAGCAGGTTTTTGAGCGGCCGCCATTTTCTTTCCAAAAGGCGTATGACAATTTCAAGTAGCCTATAACCTTCTTACACATCTATAAAACAAAGCAAAAATGTTTCACCGAAAATGGTGCACTCGTTTTCCCGTGAAAAGCAAACAAAAACACGTCCGCGAGCGTTATCGACAGACAGAAATTGAGATAAGGCTTGTTTCGGCTTCTCTGGTGTATGATACGTGAAGATATGCAAAAAGTACACTATTCGAAGCAATGTACAGACAAAACTCTTATTTTATTTATATAGATACATCACATCCAGTGTACCCACTTATAATAATATACGTCACATCCAGTGTACCCACTTATAATAATATATGTCACATCCAGTGTACCAACTTATAATAATATACGTCACATCCAGTGTACCCACTTATAATAATATACGTCACATCCAGTGTACTCACTTATAATAATATACGTCACATCCAGTGTACACACTTATAATAATATACGTCACATCCAGTGTACCCACTTATAATAATATAAGTCACATCCAGTGTAACAGTTCTGTATCCGTGTGATTATTCAATTTTTTCCATTTGAGTAAAATATCAATAACTTTGGACATGTGTACTAGAAAATTATTTATTTAGTTTGCTCCATTTGCTAGGTGTATCTAGCTGTTGTTCACAAGTTCATTTTATAACTAACTTGTCAATATCACTGGAATGTAAAACACAGAACTTATACACATAGTACCATTTTTTATTATTATTAATGTCCTGTTCATTCTTCTACAGAAAAATTTCACACAATATCCTCTTAATTATGTTTTATTAAAAACTTAACACACTGATTAAATCTACAGTCTCTTGTAATAAATAATTCTTAGCTTTTATTTCTTGAGCTTTAATAACTGTTTACATTCCAAAAAGAAACAGCAAAATTACACTAAAAAATAATCTCTCTCACATATATCTAACTTTTGGAAAAGCTACCTCAATGTTCAACTTTTTGTCAGTTGCTAATGGAAACCAATAATCATTCTTTACAACATAATATTTTGTTTTAGAAATTAGTTTCTGTTCCTAATGAAATTATTCAAATCTTCTAAACTTACTTTGGCATTTAGTCACTGTAAAAAGCCATATTTCTAGCCATTCAAAGCTTTGTACGTGATCTAGTATTTTGACAGTGACAATCGTTAACGATTCTTTTTTAAAGGTATTATTATTATTACAATTCATTCTTTCAATCATTCTCTGAACACTGATGTACAAATACATACAACACCTAAAATGAGATTAGTAATACTTACTGGATTATGGTACTTGTGATAAACCTCCATCTCGACACGGAATTGATCCTTTGTTAAAAAGATTAAAGTTTCTCTATGTTGTCTTTCCACCTCTTTTAACTAGGAAAATAAATTGGTAAATTCCTTATAAAATTACATTAAAACCTAGTTTTTGCATTCTGTAAAATTCAGTCAGAAATTACTGTGTTAAGTTTTTCACTACTGGGAAAAAAAAACCTGTTATACCCACCTTGGTCTCATGTTGAACTGAGAGTTTCTCTAGGTGAAGCAGGACTATACATGTAATGATTTATTAACAAGTAGTTATACCAACCTGGTCTCATATCTACAGAGAATTTCTCTAGGAGAAGCAGGACTGTAATGATTCATTAACAAGTAATTATACCAACTTGGTCTCATGTCTACAGAGAGTTTCTCTAGGTGAAGCAGGACTATACATGTAATGATTTATTAACAAGTAGTTATACCAACCTGGTCTCATATCTACAGAGAATTTCTCTAGGAGAAGCAGGACTGTAATGATTCATTAACAAGTAGTTATACCAACCTGGTCTCATGTCTACAGAGAGTTTCTCTAGGAGAAGCAGGACTGTAATGATTCATTAACAAGTAGTTATGCTAAACTGGTCTCATATCTACAGAGAGTTTCTCTAGGAGAAGCAGGACTGTAATGATTCATTAACAAGTAGTTATACCAACCTGGTCTCATGTCAACAGAGAGTTTCTCTAGGAGAAGCAGGACTGTAATGATTCATTAACAAGTAGTTATACCGAACCTGGTCTCATGTCTACAGAGGATAACTACTTGTTAATGAATCATTACAGTCCTGCTTCTCCTAGAGAAACTACCAACCTGGTCTCATGTCTACAGAGAGTTTCTCTAGGAGAAGCAGGACTGTAATGATTCATTAACAAGTAATTATACCAACCTGATCTCATGTTGAACAGACAGTTTCTCTAGGTGAAGCAGGATTATACATGTAATGATTCATTAACAAGTAGTATACCAATCTTGGTCTCATGTACACAGAGAGTTTCCCTTGGTGAAACAGGACTATGTATATGTAATGATTCATTAACAAGTAGTATACCAATCTTGGTCTCATGTACACAGAGAGTTTCCCTTGGTGAAACAGGACTATGTATATGTAATAATTTGGACAAAAGTTACACCCATCTTGGTCTCACGTTGAACAGAGAGTTTCTTTAGGAGAAGCAACACTACATACATAATAATTTGTACACAAGTTACACCAACCTAAGCTTAGTCTCATGTTGAACAGTTTCCATAGGTGAAGCAAGGTTATACACTTAATTATTCATATAAAAGTTATACTAACCTTGGTCTCATGTTGAACTGAGAATTTCTCCAGGTCAGCTTCACTCTTTTTTTTCGTCTTCTGACTTTTTGATGAAAGAGAACAATATTAGAAGACTATCAATACAGTCTATATTCCAATGCACTGATAAATATGATAAAAGCAGTTAGCAATGAAGATACCAATAGTTTAAAATGTAACTCCCACCTATAAACCTATAGTTCACTCTGATATGCATAATCTGATCTTTAACAAGAACCATTCTTATTTTCATTTCCAGATGGTAGTTCTACTTCCAGCGCTATGATTGCACATTCCACCAGTCATGGAATATTTAAAACTTATTTTTAATTGTTGACCTGTGGTTTGGTTTCAGAGGTTTTGGTAAAAACCTCAATTTTACTTTTACAGTAACTGAGTGTAATAAGTTTTTTGCAAGTAGGCCTTCTCAGTCTACTCAAAACTCTATATGAGAAACTCTCTTACATTACACAGTTGAGTGTACTAAATTTAATGCTAGTATGCGGTAGACTGTGAGAAATTTCAAAAACTAGAAAATAAATATTTAAAGAGTTTGAACACTAATTTTTAAATATCTATAGCTATCCCAGTTTGTAGTAATAGAATATTATCTACAATTATTTTCCCTTTTGAAAATTAGTGAAATTAATGAAAAGTGTTGATACTTGAAGTACACATCCAATAGGCTTAACAGATATACAAATTATGGTTTTTAGGAATATTCCAGTTGTAGCTTCCTCTAGTGATACTTTTACATTGTTGCGTCAGCGAGGTCACGTGACTAGTATCACACCACCTG